CCGTTTGAAATCCTAGGATTAAAGCAATTATCATTCATTAAATGCTCTCTTTTTTCTAATTCTAATGAAGAAAAAAAAAACAAAACAGATACTATACATCACTTTATTAAGTACGGCGAACGTGCAAGTACAGGTGGATTTCCTGGAGAATGGCAGGGGAGGTTTCTTCTTAGAATAAAAAAAAATTAAAAAAACAAAATTAGAATAGAAAAAATATTTTTAAAAAAAATTTTAAAAAAAAATGTCATCAAGAATTACAAAAAGACAATTTAATTAATTTTAACAAGAATCAAATATAATAAATAAAGAATTTAAAATAATTCATAGCACTGGTCATTCTAAAACAGACTATAGGTCACTTGTAATTAATTTCTTTTGTTCTCTCCCTGCCCTTACCTGTACACCATTCCCACTTAGCCAAAACCAGTCACCTGTATCAATTTGAGAATTTTGGCTAAGTGGGAAGACACCCTAACAACAAAAGAAAGATGATTGTTTATATTTAGATCTGTATAGATAACCATTAGAAGTAGGATTAAAAGGATTAATTATTGTATTATTGATATGTACATGTTTCATTGATGGAACAGGCACTGATCAAGAAATCTGTATAAGTGATGTGCCTAGTGTTGTTCATGAGAGGATAAACTGCAATTCTTTTCTTAAGAAATAAAAATACATTTATTAGATGTTAATGTATTTAAGTTAAAATTATTTTTTATCTTAAATCTCAAGTAAAAATAGCTTTGTTTTTAAAAGAACATACATAGTCCCTGACGGTTGCTCGTTTTTTCCACATGATCTAATGTACTGCGAGTATAGCTCTCGTGATTTTGTTTATTTATTCAAACAATAATATGCTAAATTTGGTGTAAGTATGCGGTGAATTAATGTTGCAGCCAATGCAGAAAAATGCAGAATCCTCGTAAGGGGGGGGGGGGGGGGATTTAAGGCTATTTCAGACTTTGTTTAGTTGGCACTTTTGTAAAGAACAGTTTAAATCCAATGCCTCCCCCCCTACTCTAGGCCTTAGGTAGGAAGCAATTTTAGTTTGAGCTAGGGAAGGGGGGCATCTGTATATGAATTTAGAGTTTGGGGCACTATCAAGTACCAAAAACCCTTGATTACCAAAAAATATATATATACTGTATATATACAAACCAGTATCAGGTATTTTTATTTTGGGGGCACGAGTTAATTGTAATAGTACGAAAGCCCAGTGAGCTCATTTTGGTAGGTTAAAAAAATATTTTTTTCGCGTTAGAACGCGAAACTTTCGCGATTAAAGGCGTAACTTTTGCGATATAACGCGTAACTTTCGCGTTATAACGCGAAACTTTCGCGATATAACGCAAAACTTTGGCGAATAAACGCGTAACTTGCGCGAATAAACGCGTAACTTTCGCGTTATAACGCGAAACTTTCGCGATATAATGCGAAACTTTTGCTATTTAACCAAGACATTTGCTGAAGTCTTAACTTTCTTTTGATTTTGTGATCAAGTTTATTTATTAATTATTTTTAGCAAAAGGCTATTTTAAATTTGGAATATCACAAGCTACAATTTTAAGTTTTTTTCCTATTGAATCCATCTTTACCGTCATAGGTGGTCTTTCTCAGCACTGTTCAAACAATTCAAAGATTATGCGACTTTTCCAAAAGTTAAACTTCAATCCCTATTATTATAATTAAGATTATGAATTTCGGGGAAAATCACCCCTTTCCGGCGTCTTTTTTACGCATTCTCTAGAGAATTTGATATAATTTTATTTTATAAAGAACAAGATCTCCGAATTGTGAAAATTGGATAGTAGATTTTCATTTGTCTCCGTTTCGATTCACTGTAGAAATACGATATCGGAAAAATATTGACAATTAATTCTAAGTGTACAAACTCTGTCGTATATACCGTAAAGACAGATGATACAAACAAACTTTTGTCAATTAATTTGAAAATAACTACTTGGGTTATGTTTTAATGAATAAAATGAATAAGTTTCACAGCGTAGTTGTTAAAATTCTAGTAAAATTTTTACAAAAATAGGATTTGAAGTGAAAAATATTTGTATAGATTAACAAGGATGGTTTCAGAGAGGTAGACTTTTGAACATCATACATGTCATAGAAGGTTTACAATTTCTTTATACTCTAGAAATATATTATTTGCATCATTTTCAATGAAATTAGGCCACTGAGAGTTGCTGAATGTTCCCGTCTGTTTTCATGTTCTTATCTGTCAGTCAAGATCAAGGTTCCTGAGTAACATTATTATATATGCATATTATTTTGCGAAATAACGCGAAAGTTTCGCGTTATATCGCGAAAGTTACGCGTTATAACACGAAAGTTATGCATTATATCGCGAAAGTTTCGCGTTATATCGCGAAAGTTACGTGTTTATTCGCGAAAGTTTCGCGTTATAACGCGAAAAATTAATTTTTAAAACCTACCAAAATGAGCTCAATGGGCGTTCGTATAATAGCATGTTTTCTGTAGCATACTATACATCGATAAATTACCCCCACCCACCCCCTGTTTCTATTGCCATGCGTAATATGTTCCTAAAGTCTAGGACGTAAATAAAAAATATATATTACATGTATACTATAGATATCAAAATCATTCGTTTCAAGGTGGAGATAGTGATTTTTTTGTACGCTATTGGTACGGTACTGATTATTTTAATTAATTAAATTTTGATTGACACGTCGGATCTGTGTAGGCTTTCGATCTATGCGTTTCACGAGTTACCTCCTTTACATTGTCACCATGGCGACGAGGAGGGTTTTGTCGGAACCGAGATCGAGTTGGAAACATAAATTCACACAAAGGACACATTATATTTTAAATATTTTATCATGATCGATGAACTGAATTTAGATCAGCTATGTCAAGCGAAAGTCTTGGGTCAGAACTGAGGGTACAAAAAAGTCGACATTACTGCATACTGTAGACCTAATATTTTGTTAAGCATGCGGTGTTCGTTTTCTATATTCTTTTCTCATTATAACACAAAATCAAACATTTTAAATCAGATAATTGCATTTTTATACCCTTTTCTAATAAAAAGCAAAATAAATCATCGTCTTTGATATTTAAATGAGATATTCCCGAAAATCCGCACTGGTGATCGGTTTTCAGCTGTTTAGCGTGGAAGGAAAAGTTAAGTTTTCGATGTGGCCACACCCGACAAACAAAATAAAAATATGCCTCATATATTATTTTTTATATCCTCTTTCTAAATACATAAATTTTATTTTGTTTGTAGGGTGTGGCTAGGGTCAAATTTTGAATTAAAGATGTAAAAAACGTTAAATTTTGCTAAAAATTTGCAAAGTGCACGTGTTTAGACGTTTGCTGTACAAATATGACGTCATCAAATAAAGAATGTGACGTAAACCTTTTAAGTTCGATACTAGTAGATAATATTATACCATTATTTTTCTGGTTTATTGAGAAATGAATTTAATTTTTGAAGATTCATGAGGTTATGAACTACGACGCTTCACGCCGGCATATTTCATGAAGCGCGTTAGCGCTTCATGATAAATATGCCGGCGTGAAGCGTTGTAGTTCATATACCTCATGAATCTTCAAAAAATTAAATTCATTTCTTATATTTACATTATTTTTCTGATGACTAGCCATAAATTTACGCCGTTCAACTGTCATTTTTAAAACAAAACAGAGTGCACTATATTTTTTGACTGTTTGACGTCAAGAGCGGTACTATGACGTAACAATGGAGATATTCATGCTTATTCGTGATACATACCTAATGTAGTTCATGAGAAAATATACTGCATTTTATTTTGTAAAGAAACATAGGGGAAATTTATTGGAAATGTAAATATCTTCAGTTAAATTTTCCTGAAAAGTATAGGCCGATTATGCACCTTCGTGGCTTTACTTCTTTATTTTGAGGGGTTAATCAGATTGGATTCAATTTTCATTATCTGTTTGAATTATACGTACAATGTTTTGATTTTTAGATAATTGTTTAGATATTCCTACATGCTATCGTTTTCACTCATTTTTCAAAACATTGGGTGACCTTTGAGTATTAAACTTTTTTATTATCAAATGTTTCTTTAAATAGTGTGAACTACCCCCAAAATGATGTCTATCAATTTGCTGTGTCTTAAAGTCAATCAAACATAACTAGGGATAATTTGTTTTTCGCAAATATACATTGGTTGTTGTATGTCCTTGTCTCCAAGGACGGTATCCATCTTTGTTGCCCATTACATCATTTTTGTTCATTGAAATCCACTTGCTCATGTGTGTATAAAACGGACATTGCTTGCTGTAAATTTCACATATCTCGGTTAATATTTCTTTTGGATTCTTAACAAGTTTTACAGCAGCTTTAATGAAGCGTTTAATTTCACTCTAGTTTACTTTTTCTTGACCTTTTATTTTCACTGCAGTGTCTCGAATAGCCCTTGTTTTTCCAGCTTCTCACAATGGAACTATGTGATGAAAAGTGGTCACATAAACTGTTATCGATTCATTAAAGATTTGATAATTAGAGAAATTCAAGCTTAATGTCATATGATTTCAATGTTGTATGTCATCGAGCTGATGACATTATTTATTGAACAGCCCTCGTACCTATCACAAATGACAGATGCTGACTTCTCTATTTATGATGTTCAGTGGCAGTACACGTATAAGGGGAAACATGTGTTTCTTTGTAGTTCTTTGTTCATTTGATTTATATTTATAATGGTCTCTGTAAGTAAAGTAGTATGGTATGATTTTAAAATCTGCAGAAATAGCACTTGTCTGATCGAGGAAGCAAAAACAACTTTAAACTAAATGTTTGTTTTTGACCCAGTGTAAGCTGCTATAAAGATAAAACACCTCTCTTGGTAGCCATGATTAGAACTTGCCAGGTAACATTGATAGGATATCTATATTCAATAAATATGCAGTAAGTGTACGTTGACCCTCGTGTAATCAGAACTTTTATCATTAGTAATTCTTGTTCATGCAATTGTAAAGATCATGTGGGTCACCAAAGAAAAATATGTGTAAACTGAAAGCGTCAAAGTCTATGCTGTGTTTACAATGAAAAGAAAATGGAGATTTACTTCATACTGGTTGCCAGTTTTCTTAGTTCTGGTAAGAAAAGTTATTTGTATTTCAAGTAGACTCCAATAAAAAGAGTACTGGGTACACAAAGGATTCTCTTTTAAAACTGTTCACCAAAAGTATTATAAAAAATATACGATTTTTATTTTGGTATATCTTTGTTTGTTGTTTAACGTCCCTCTCGATTGTTTCACTCATATGAAGACGCCATCACTTGCCGGTGTAAAGACGAATAATGACCCCCATCGAATAATGACCGGGGGTCATCTTTCGACAGCGAAAAATGACCCCCGGTCAATATTCTACGGCGAAAAATGACCCCCGGTCATTATTCGACGTCGAAAAATGACCCTTTTGCCCGTAGAAAAAGTGTCACCACCCTAAAAATTTGTAGAACCCACGTGAAGAAAAATGACCCCCATAGAAAAATGACTCCCTGTAGATTAAAGCTAAAATATTTAGGGGGCAAAAAAAATAGATAAAGAAGCATATTGGCCAAAATGCTCACCTGAGCTAATTGGGAATAAATTGATGATATGTTGATCTCATAACATTATACAATTATAGCTATATTTTAAGGTCAATGCGATGATTCAAAATCTAAAGGAGTAAAAGATTTATCGACCCTTAAGGGTTAGGTAAACACTGTACTTCGATGGTGGAAATCATCGTACTGACAGCAAAAAATCAGCAGTATTATATATCATTACTGTAAACGTATTACATTTGGCTGTGTATTCTTTTTAGCGCCTTTCGCGGAAAGCAACCTCCGCTAAATCAAGTACATCGCTAAATGCTTTGTGTATAAACGTTTCTGTAACGCACATTAAAAAAGCGCTAAATCAAATCTACGCCAACTTGTCGAAAATTCAATTTCCGCCAAATATCGTACACGCCAAATATAATACATTTACAGTATATCCTCCGCTTGAAAAGCGGGAGGGTATATTGTGATCGGGATGTCCGTCCGTCCGTCTGTTACGCTCTGGGGTATCCATATCTTATTCGCAACTCTTATATATAAAAAGATGTGTTTGTGAAATAGCTATGCCCCTGTATGGCAACATAGCGAAGATTAAACTTTTCTTAAACGCAATTTAAATATATTGGTACCCAAAGTAGGGTCTTCTCACAAGAAATACAAATGCAAAATAGGAAAGTCCTAGCATCACTTGTTCAAAAGTAATGGCTTAGGATGAGTTTTTGAAAGGTAGGTCAAACTCAAAGGTCAAAGGGTCAAAGTTGATGGTTTCTTATGAAAGATTTAACGTAACAAGGATTACATATGTGAAGTATGAAAACCCTAGCCCTTACCGTTCAAAAGTTATGGCCAAGGTTAGTTTTTTTTCATAAGTACGGAAATCTCCAAGGTCAAGGCCAAAAGGTCAAAGTTTTTAGTATCCAATGAAAGGTCATGCCAAAAAAAATACATATGTGAAGTATGAGAGTACTAGTATCTACCCTTTAAATGTTACGACCAAAGTAAAAATTTGGAATTTTTGTGTAAAATGAGACAACAAACTCCAAGGTAAAGGTAAAAAGGTCAAATTGGTGGTACCCAAAGTAAAGTCTTGTCAAAAGGAATACACTTATTAAATATAAAAGTCATAGCTCCAATAAATGAAAAGTTATGGTCAAGGTTAAAGTTTTTTGCGGACAAACAGACCGCCAGATAGACAGAGAGAAGTACAGACGGACACGATAAAACTACCAGTAAATACCCCATAATCTTCGATTACGGGGACATAAAAAGAAATGGTCTTCAATTAACTTTTCATATTATGATACAGTATAAAGAAGACGTTACAAAAATGAAAATATTTGTTCTGATTTTCATATTAAATTCTCTGAAAAATATACTCAGAACTGAGTAAAGGGGTGGATTACAACAAGAATGAATACTGTGTGCTAAATCGAAAGATTATGTCTAAATGTATATTTTTTTCAGTAGAATGTGTATTTTACACTAGCCCATAGCTTTAAAGAGCATATTTTAGGTGTTATACCTACCCCACCCTTACTTATTTAGGAAGAAGTCGATTATCAACAAAAAGCAACAAAAAACTACCCTACCTTTATTTTTCTATAAGGAGGGACTAAAAATAAGCTTAAAATAATCTACTATTCTACTATTTTTCAACTGTTACTTTGCCACAATACTTTCAAGTATACCCCTACAAACATTTAAAGTATGCTTTAATCATGGCGAAGTAAATTATGATATGATAGTACTTGTGTGAAGGCTTAACTTCATTTCAATATTTTATCTAGAGCCTCTTTCAGTACCATTGAAAGGTATAGAGTTTTATTTATATTTTTACGTGCTAAGAAGAACAAATATAAAATCTATTCGAACAAATACATTAATTACTCGAAGGAAGAACAATTATAATATACAGCATATTTCCCTTTCACTTTTCCCATTATAAATCTTGTATCACTTTAAAGGGGGTCATTTTTCAATGGGGGTCAATTTTTTATAGGACTAACATATAAAATTATGACCCCTAGGACTCTTTTCTACAAAAAATGATTTTTTTTCTATGGGTGGGGGTCATTTCTTGTCATTGAAAAATGACCCCCCGGTGATTATTCGATGGGAGTCATTATTCGTCTTTACACCGGCGGCTAGAAATTTAGATCTTTAGTCGGCTCTTCGGACCATAGCTGCAGATCTGTAGCGTTATGGTTTTATATATAACGTTATGGTCAAAGACAAATATATAAAACCATAACGCTACAGATCTGCAGCTATTCAGGCCATTGAGCAAAGAGGGATCTTTTCGTGCCAACAACTATTGTGACTATGGACCTAGGTGTACATGTATATGGTCTCATCCGATGGACCATTAAATCTTTGTTATTTCTCAAAAAGGGCAAAATTATACCCCTGTCAAAATAATTATCCAGTTTTATCTGAGTTGTACACCGAATTTGAAAGATCGATAAGAAATGAAACATTCCAAATTAATTAATTTTTAGCATTTTCATCTTATTTTTTTTAAAAAAAAAGGGACAAGAAGGTCATGTTATTTTGATAATAAGTAAGAAGGTTCCTACTTTCATCTTATGTAGAAGAATAAATAAATCTAAAAGGTCTGTAAAGTAATTTTGAGAAGTAAACATTTTCAATGACAGTTTTATCACTGATATATTCATTTTTATTACAGTACTCCAAACCTAGAGATAATACCTCTTATTCTGTGTAGGGGTTTGAAGCTTTTTGATTATCCACTTTCATATGATAACATAAATCAAAATTGAGACTACTTTAAACCTGACCCATTTTATATTTAATGACATGATTTGCAATGGTATACATTAAAGTGATGTCAAGAAAGAAGATGGGAGCATTTGGCGTGTGATCTGCAGGAATCATTTGTACGAAACATTTATGGTTTAAATGTCCATGATTTGGTTGACTGAACATAGCTGGTCAGATTTTACAAACACGTCCATAGGTTTTTTTTATATTATTTAGTTTGAAAGTGTGAAATTGTAAGATTTTTGTCCGTTTTTCCTAAGGGGTACTATAACATAGTAATGTTTCACAAAAAATAAACACCTAAAATATTTAATGCATATATAGATGCATGATACGTGTACATGTACATTTATAGAAGATTAGAATAAAATTATTGATTTCGCTCGAGAACCAAACTGAACCAAAATTTATCTAATTCAAAATTTTAATGCATCAGTACATAAAACGAAACTGACAAAATAAATGGTTGTTTGCATGAAAAAAAAAATTAACGCCCCATGCCAGGTTCGAACCAAAAACTTTTCTATTCCAGTGCAGTGAACAGCTATCCCAACTTACTGAGCTATCACCGCTACACATACATTGAGTTTAAAAGGACAAAAAAGCACTACATTCACACATTTGGATTTTTTGGGGAAAAGTTCGTTTTTCGTGGTCTCTGGGTCTTCTCTCCATTTTTTTAAACAAGAGGTCCATGGACCACATCGCTCACCTGGGCATGCTTCCATATAAATATGATCAATTATGGCTTTGTTATTCTTGAGAAGAAGATTTTTAAAGAATTTTCCTATATATTTTGATGTAAAACTTTGGTCGGCAATTGTGGCCCTGCCCTACCCCTGGGGGTCATGATTTGAAAAAAACTTGAACCTACACTATCTGAGGATGCTTCCATATAAATATGATCAATTATGGTTTTGCTATTCTTGAGAAGAAGATTTTTAAAGAATTTTCCAATATATTTCCATGTAAAACCTTGGTCGGCTATTGTGGCCCCGCCCTACTCCCCGGGGTCATGATTTGAACTAACTTGAATCTGCACTACCTGAGGATGCTTCCATATAAATATGATCAATCAAGGCTTTGTTACTCTTGAGAAGAAGATTTTTAAAGAATTTTCCTATATATTTCTATGTAAAACTTGGTTGGCCATTGTGGCCCCGCCCTACCCCCCGGGATCATGTTTTAAACAAAATTGAATCTACACTACCTGAGGATGCTTCCATATAAATATGATCAATTATGGCTTTGTTATTCTTGAGAAGAAGATTTTTAAAGAATTTTGCTGTACATTTCTATGTCAAACTTTGGTCGGCCATTGTGGCCCCGCCCTATCCCCGGGGGTCATGATTTGAACCAACTTGAATCTACACTACCTGAGGATGTTTCCCCATAAGTTTCATCTTTCCTGGCACAGTGGTTCTTGAGAAGAAGATTTTTAAAATATGCCCCCAAATTTTCATTAATTCCCAATTATCTCCCCTTGAATGGGGGCGCCCTTCATTTGAACAAACTTGAATCCCCTTCACCCAAGGATACTTTGGGGCAAGTTTGGTTGAAATTGGCCCAGCGGTTCTTGAGAAGAAGTCGAAAATGTGAAAAGTTTACAGACAGATGGACAACCGGACGCCGGACAAAATGTGATCAGAAAAGCTTCGGCTCAGGTGAGCTAAAAGGTGTATTCGTTTCTTTGAATTAAAATACACACAAATAACGTTTCAAAATCATGAAGAGAAGATCCAGATATAGAAAATTTTTTAGAATAACGTGTTTAAAAATGTACACTTTTGTACCAAATCTCTAGTATGGCCAATTTTCAACTTATTTTTTAGCAAATCAAAGCTCGATTTCGGAAAAATATTTTCCTTTCCTGTTGGACAGGAACCCCATAAATAAAAAATGTTAAAATTTCATGTGACATGTTGATAAAATTTTCACTTTTCAATTACGCCCAGATTCGTGCCGAATGCCAATCAAAAGCGCCCTCGTTCTTTAATCATATAATATTTTTACGATGCTGAATACATACTTCCTATAAAAGATATAAAATGAGTTTTTATCTGATCGAATGGCCCATTGTTCTGAGACCCTGAATCTGCCTCTGCAATTCTCAGAGATCCGTATTTTATGCTCAATTGACATATCTGTATTATTTCGAGAATTTTTTTTTATAGCTCGATCACTTTTTCATAATGCCGGTAGTAAATCGCAAAAAAATTAATTTTATGGAATATGACATTTATTTAGGATTATTCATAGCTGATTCTGTTTCTAAATTTAAAGAGTCAAACTCTGTTTTCCCAAAGCATCTGCGAAGGAAAAGACAAAACCTACGAAAGGAAGTGGTTACATGAGTATTTTATGTTTCAACATTGTTTTGGGACATTTTATAATTTTAAGATATTGCTGAATTTCAAGCATATCTTTGAAAGCAGGGTAATAATTACATGTATATATGTCTTTTGTATATTAACACTCATGCAATTGTAATGCTGCGAGGTAGCAGTCTAGATGTCTAAATTTTTCATGTCGCCATAGGTTTGTGTACTAGTATATGTACATCCTATATAAAAACTGGAATTATACAAAATAAACTTAATGCATACTTTAAATTGACAATAACTTTCTCGTCTTGTGGATACTTATAGATACTAAATCATTCTAATATACAAAATAATTATTCATTTTCAGACAAGGATATATTGTTTGAATGCAAAACAGTTTACAACAATTTGGTTAATCATAGAATTTTGACCCTATGTTATTTCTTCATTTTCAGCACTGTGTGAGCACATTACATCCAAATGCCATGGTAACAACTACATGAATTCTATATGTGCCAACCAATCAGATGTTATTGCCATCAAACAACTACAGTATGGAGCAAAATCAAATGGCAAAAAGTGTCCCCAGAATGAGCAGCATAACAATAATACGTGTTGTTCGCATGAAGTTGGCGACTGTTTGGAAGATGTGACTGATTATGCCAATAAATATTTATATTTTTCTCGATTGTCTGGACTAAATGGCATTTCACAAAATACAGCCACACCCTGGATCCGAATGAATTGTGGAAATCGCACTTTCTCGGACTATGTACAGGTCGTGTTTGATTGTATTAAAGGTATTTGTCTGATATAAAAATTTATTTTATTTATTTCAACTTAATATTACCTTCAAGCAATCGAGTTTCACCATGAAAAAATCCATTCTTTTAATCTGTAAAACAATTCCTGTGAATATCATGTAGAAAATAATCCAAATTTACAGAATGATATCATACGTTCAGCGCATATATACCTTCCAAGGTTATTTTGATAGCATTGTGTTTTCTTTTTCAGAAACAGAAATCAAGAACTTTTGTGACTATCAGAAAATGACCGCAACAAATAAAGGTCTGTACCTCCATAGGGAACGATATTTTAACATTAAAAATACTTGTGAGTGCATGATCAAATCATCAGAAAGATCTACAATCAACGTATTTGCCGTTGACGTGAGATTGCAGCCAAATTACCCTGTTAATGAAAACCTGACTGGGGACTGTACAAATGCAACAAATATGCTGACAATTAGTGATAACAACAATATGACAAGCATTGAGTGTGAAAATGACACCATTTATGGAGAACTGGAAAAACTATATTCTTCATCCGAAAACTCTATTAATATATCATACTCAGAAGAAGGAAAAGAGCCACAAAATGTTTGGATATTTGTTAATGGTAAAGTTGACATACTTTGCAATTGTCTTATTTTTTAGTTAGACCATCCTCATTTCTTTCTTTTTAAATGTAATCTGCGTTTATATTGCTGATATTTTTATTAAATATATCCTTCTTACTGAGTTGTTAACTAAAGATTTTTTTTGAAATTTTGAAAAGAATACATTCTTTATTTAGCCAGCAAAGGAGATTTTGAAATCGAATGTAATCCACGACTCTCCACTACAACTTCAACAACAACATCAACAACAACAGGCACAACCAAAAATTCAAATCCACTCGTGACGTCACCTGGCAATCAAGGAAATAGTCACAAAAATAAAACTACACAACCATCGGGACGAAAGACAAAATCTCCAGGTTATAGCAATCCTCAATAAGCAATATTAGTAACATATCATTACGCATGAAAAATATGGAGATATCGAACAATATTCCAGATCAAAAGTCCATCAAACAATACAAAACAGGAGCAGAGCAAACACGAATGCATGTATTTTGTTTTTTATACTGATTCTGTATTTATCATATATAAAACTAAGTTTGAATTAGTTGGGTTTGTTAAACGTTTGCTTGTCTTCTACTAATTCTTCATTTGTCAAAATTCTGTGTCTAATTTTTAAAGTCGGTGAATTTAGATATATTTAACGTTTAGCAACTGCACATAAGTCAAACAATTTTTTTCAGAAGTAAATTATACCACATATAGCAATTTAAGATATAGTAACTTTATATTAATCCAAACACTTCTTTCTTTGACTTATTTTCAGGGTCTAAAAATTCAGACTCTAATGTCATCGAAACTGGACCCTCGGCCAGAGGTTAGATTCCTCTTTTGAAATTATATTTGCTAAATTTGAAAGAATTGTGAATTAAACGAACGCAGCTTAATAATTTAATGCTGTTACTTGAAATACATTTACTTGTACGTGTTTTAAATTTGTTCACTTTATGGGTTTTTTTCTTTACAGTAAGAGAGAGAGCCATACAAAATACGGCAATATACTGCGTCATAGGGGCGGCTGCTATAGCGACCATATTGATAATCACGGCCGGGTTTTTCATTCGTAGGAACAGAAAGTTAGTTTGTCAACCACTATATATAATATGTAATGCAATTAGTACATAAGGAAATTAATTACTTAAATCATTGGTTTGAAAATACAAATCTGATCTGTTGAATTACAAATCTTAGGATAAAATACTCAGTATCCACTTTCAACAAATGCGATGTACATTGTGAATTTTTTTAAATTATTAATTGGAAATGTGTATTCAACTCAGCAATACAAAATGTCAATATTATTACTTGTTTTCATTTTTAAATTTCCCGCCTTTTAGGTCAGCAGAGCAACAAAGAAAATATAAAAAGGTGCACGAAGCAAGACTCAGCCAATCCGACTCCTCCATTTTCACACTGGAAAAATTACCAAGGGAAACCCCAACAAACTTTTCTGAAAGTTCAGAGGACCATTTGTATTGACAAATCCCTTGATGGGAAGCCATTTGTAACATTTTATGACAATGTTCATTGAAATATTTATTATATTTAAAATATTAATATTTTAAATATTATAGAAAGGCTCTTTGTAATTATCAATTTTTACATTACATACATTAATATTAGAAGACAAGCCTCTTTCAACATAGTATAATTTTTTTCAGACAGTGTAAGTAAGAGCATGAAATGATTATGTATTTGAACAAATTTTTGTGATCTATAAGTTTTTGAAGATTTTGTTACATGCATTTAGATTTACAATTCTATTAATAATGTGCGTGTTATTAGAGTGTCATAAAACTCATAATTATTGTGTGTTCTGTCAATCACTTATTTTATTACCAATCTTTACTACAAGTACTGCATTTGAAGGAAAGCAATGCGTACATGTGTCTTTAAATGTATCATCACATTCTACGAGTCAATGGCATGAAAAGTTAAATTGATGCTTCTTTTTTGCATTTCTTTATTTGTTTTTAAAAAACTTCACATCTTGTTGTTTTTTTTTTTGGTTTTTTTTTTTTTTATTTAAACAAATTTATTTTTTTTTCTACATAATTTAATTACATATTAATTAAATAAATTATTATGTAGGGTATTCTATTTGTGTACAAAGATTTGTTGAAATCAAAGCTAAACTGAAGGAAGAGTGTCATTAAAAAATTGCATGTAATTCTATATTTTGTGAATATTCAAGTTTACGTATATGAAAATTTCTTGTAGGATTTTTTAAAGGTAAAATAATGTGAAAGTCATAGTAAAAATATTTTGTGATAAACTATAGTTCAAACTTGATTTACTCTAGTTTAACTTAAGTGCTACTGTTTGCAACAGTAATTTTTAGTTAGGGAGAAGACCTATGAAGAATCCGGTATTATTGTCAATATCATACAATGTATTTGAGACACTATAAATGCATGTATCAAATGATTCTCATATTTCGTACATACAAAACAATTGCTCGTCTATTAATGATGAAAAATCCTGCAATGAAATTAAAGCATTTATGATGCCTTATCATAACCACTTGTGAAAAACCTTTAACTTATCATACCATTTCGTTTTATTAGAGGTTAAAAGTAAGTTTTTTATCCTTATCCGATGGAACTATGTATTTTATCATCATTTTTTTTTTTACAATTATTTATCATGAAAAATTATCTCCATGAACTAATGCTAATTTTTATTCTGATTGGGTAATTATTTTATCACTAAATGATTGCTACAATTTAATGCTGCAAGTCTGCTGAACTCAAATTTTTTTCTCTTAAAATTGCATAGGTTAAAGCATTGTAAAATCATTCATTTTCGTGGGGGCTTACCGTTTTCATTGTTTTCATGGTATGAAGTAGCTGCAGTTATGGTTTTATATATTAATATTGATGACCATAACGCACAGGCACTTGTTTCTGTGATAAATTTTTGACCTATAGTATAATAATAACGTGTTATCATTATACTATAGGTTTGAAATTTATTTCCGAAACAAGTGCTTGTGCCATATCGCTAAAAATGAGGTCAATATTTTCTTCGAATTGTTTGAAAGAATGTCTCTACTTTCAAGCTTTAGTCAATAAATCTGCCTTTCAATCCCTTAATCTAGATATATATTTTCACTATCTGTATTATTTTATTCACCTCCGTACCCTTTATAGTTGTTTCTACAGACCAATTTGCTGGTTTTATATTGGATGGTAGAAAATTCAAGTAAGTTTATTGGCCTGTAGACATGAATGTAAAGAGTTGGATAAAATACAGCTGCAATAATGTAGCCCTCTCAACTTTTTATATGATTTTTTGCCTCTTCCCTTATAAAAGATTAGACAAACTAGAAAACTGACCAGTCAGCAAGGGTCCTGCCATAGAGTAGAAATATAAGGTGCAGCTTATGGAATTCTTCATAAAAAATGTACTAAGAATAAGCAATAGCAACTGTATTCTTAAAATTTCAAGATAATTCATAAATATTCAAAAACCTGTAAATAATACCCTTGTATTTACATTAGGCAGTAAAGAACAACTTAATATTCAATTTGAATGTATATTTAAACAATAATAAAGCATATGTTATATAAAATGCCATCCTTCAATGAATGCAAATATCATGAAGACTTGACCTTAACTGCAGACAAAGGTTTTCATTAATCTTAAAGTGACAGATAAATTTAGGATAAGCCTACTAAATTTTCTGCAGCAGGCTTGATAATTAATCCCAAGGGATTAACTGTACCTCTCTCATCCTTTTCTTCTAAAGTTACTATAAGAACTTTTTCAGTATCTATAATGATAGAATGGGGTTTTTATACAACTACCTTAAAAATTAATAATATTCTTGAATTTACATAAAGGGAAAAAAGTAAAAATAACAAATATATCTTCTTTAATCTATTTCTTTTTTTTAGAATTCAATGAGATCATCACTATTTTAACAAAATAAAGTATGAACATTTATATTTAAATCCACATTTCAGAGTGTTCATAGCATTCTAAATTGACTTAACTTCAAAACAAACTTCACTTGCAGACAGAGGTGGTAATCCCATGGGACTCATAGCAGCATACAGTTTACAATGGGAACATCTTTAGCAGTTATCTCTCTTTGCCAATGCATTCTTATATAAAGTTAAGGAATCTACCCCACCACCCAGCTCCAAACCAAGGGTCATAGAGAAACAAACTAAGCATCAAAATATGTCTTTCTGCCTATTAAACTACCATACCAAATTGGGCAACCATTAAAAAAGTTATTAGGAAAAAACAGAAAATTTGAGGACGGAAGAGTGACAGAGACGGACAGACAGAGTGATTACTATAGGGCACTCGCAAATCCTTGCGGGGCCCTAAATACATGTATACAGAATAGTTTAAGAATACTCTAGAAATAGGGAGTGAAAGGTAGTTAATTGACCAATGCTGGAAAGTGAACAAATTCTCACCAACCATGCACTGGATGCCTGCCTCATAAATTGCACAATATTTGCATTATAGGAACTGTAGCATTATGGCCAAAGACTAAAATATAAAACCATAAGACTACAGTTCTGCCTCTAGGAATTTTCATCCCCACAAACTAATATATTTTCACAAAATCAGGAAATTTAAACCTCATCGAAATACATGTAAGTGTTTCTACAGTATACAACAAAACATGTACTAGAATATCTAAAGATCAGTCATTTTCAAGTTCATTTCCCAAATCCATAGTGATGCTCTTGTAATTTGAAGATTTGCGATCACATATATTTTTTCGTCTGTCCATCTGTTTTTCCCCTGAAAGTCTAACCTTGGTCATTGCTTTTGAGCAATTATTTTTGGGGGTTTTTAATGTATTTCTTGTAATATGACCTTTCCTTGGGTGTCATTTTACCTAGACCATAAATGTGAAGGGGGATGAGCAAAACCTTCAAATTTACCAGGTCTGTGAACCATCATCAATCAACTAAAATTAAGCCTTTGTACATTTGAAGATTTTTTCAAATTCTGGACTTATTTACAATTAAGGATTATTAATATATATGGCTGTTGTCACCTTTCAAATGTTTCTGCATAATTCTGCATAATCAAAATGGCTTTAAATATTTCTAAAAGTCATTGATCCCCTGGTTCTTAAAATTTTCTTTAATATTTAGTATACATGTAAATACACATATAAAACCATGCAGTAAAAATATCAAATAATAAATAAATCATCATACTTTAGGTAAATGCTCTTTTACCCAATTTTATAAATTAATTTTGTGTTTTCATGTCATATTTATTTGATTTACATAAAAAAAATTACTTTGTGACAATAATTGCAACCGTTTTTCATGAAAAAATCATGATGATATACATGAACCTTATAATGAATTGAACACATTGTCGAATTTTGCTTTGTATAAACAAATTTTATGTAATTAACATTTCAGAAGATGTTAACGAGCAAATACTTTCTAATCTGGAATTTCTCACACTTTCAGTATCCTTGTGGTCTCCTTTACAAACCGATATCTTCTTCAATATAATGGGTTTTTGAAAGTAAAAATTTATGGCCTCAAAAAGATATTTAACCACACTGTTCACTTCACTATACTACCTCTAGCAACAGTTCTAGACAGTACTTTATATAACCACATATTCTTTAATTTCTATTGTAAACATCATGAAATGAAGCCTTACTATCCATGACATTTTGCTGCTATAATTGGATTCCTCCAGTATTTCAGATCTACACCACAGAATTTGAGTCCAAGCTCACATTTCCTATTGATTCAAAGCTCACGTTTCCTATTGAGTTAAAGCTCACATTTCCTATTGAGTTAAAGCTCACATTTCCTGTAGATGGCATAGAATTGTTTACCTGAACAAATTTTTTCCTTTATAAAACTCCTGAGTTTATCAGATATCAAAAGTTTCAGCACAAATACTGTGACCATGTTCTTCGTACTGCTCCCTGGTGACGGCCATTTTCTTATACTCCTCAGTGTTAGCTAGCATTCTACCACCTTCCCACGCATAAGTCACAGGGCTGCAAAATAGGATGAGATTTTAATCAAGATTAAATGTTACCTATACTTTATTGGTAAGGAAAATTAAGATAAAGAACCTCCCTTGTTCTTTTTCAGACCAGCTATCATTAAAATACATATGAAATTTCAAAAATTTTGTTAATATAATAAGATATCTCTTACCTAGACAATGCTTGCATTAGTTGTGTTTTTTTAAGGTGTTGTTAGTATATATTTTTTTATTTCTCGTTTATTTTTTTTAAGGGGGGTCCAAAAAAGTAAAAATGTTGGATTAGCCTGTATCACTGTGCTTGTTCTTATATATACATGAATATTTGTAAATGAAAAGATTGAAAAACTTACTTGCTTGGCATTTTAGTTGAGATGTCATATTCTTCAGGGGCCATACTTCTTACATCAGCATAACTAACAAAACAAACATAAGTATGTAAAAAAGTTTGAATGCAAGGGGTTTCTTCGAACTGGACATTTGTGGATAATATAGATAAAATGGTTGTAGACTTTAAAATCACTTTCTGAGATCTGTTTTATATAAGATTACCATGGTATTCAAGATAATCATTCTAAATATCATAAGAATTAACTGTATTTTTTATCAATAAAGCTACGGTACTTCATGCATGAAAACATTGACAGATTTTCAAAACCTCTGGATAAAGTCATAATCCAAATGCACAAATTATTAAAGATATTCTCTTCCTTGACAAAAAGAAATATTTATACTAAATATTGCCATAGAATTGGATTTAGTTTTCTGCAGATTGTAAAATTTACGTTACATTTGCTGATATCGTGATACGAGATTACTGTATTCTACAAATAAATGACTTTAGTATTGAACATGTACTTGATGTGGGTCATATTTTGGCAGCTTTCCTACATCCTTTTGTGTGCCAAAGTTGGATTTTATGTAAAGTTTTGCATTATGATAGCATTAATTCATGATTGCACCAAATATAGTGCCAATCGTATGTGTGCAT